ATGTGCTGAAAACCAATAAAATTCATTTCTGTGATTTAACAAAATATTCCAGTAAAAAATAAAGTAGAAACATAAAAGTTAATGCACTACATCTTAACAGATTTTGGTGTGTTAACTTCATTAAAAAATTATGTCATTTGACTATTTATAAGAAATAAAATTAGATTTCTCTAATCACAGAAAATTTACTAAAACCATATTAGAAGTTGAACAATCTAAACCATGAATATAGCTAGCAATACAACCCAAGCAGGGAGAAGAGTAAAGAGTTCGCCAGCAGCATTTAGTAGTAGGGATAAGGGCCCGGATCCTTGGGAAGTCTGATCTCGCCCCAGGCATTAACCAAAAACTGGCCCTGTAAAAGCTGGAGAAGAATTTACCTCTAACACTTCAAGAAGACTTTTCAGTGTTGGTTTGGGGTTTGGTTTTTTTGTTTGTTTTTGTTTTGGGTTGGTTTTTTTTAATGGCTGCTGTAATATTGACTCAGGAACTAAGAAAAATATGACTGAGATTGCATGTTGTTCCCCTCCCTAACTCATAACCAACTTTTTCCAGCTACTTGCCCAAACTCTGTGTCCCTAATCCTTTTACCCGTCCTGAGCGATACCCTTAGCACTAAATATAAGCTTTATAGACTGATCACAATTATCCACAATTCTAGCATCTTTTTGTTTATTTTTAAACTCTCACCAAGTTTTCTAGTCCCTTCCCATTCAAATCCCTATTTTTATTCCAATATTCCTCTCTCATTGAGTTATCTTAGGGAACTAGTTTTTTGTAAATAAATAAATAAATAATCAACTAATCAGGAAGATTTTATTTAGTGGAGTTCTTATGTTTCTCTAGTCTTTTAACAATTCACATTTTTTTTCCATTTCAACTTTCTTTTAAGTTTCCAGTCCAACTTTTCTGCACCAAGCCATGAGTAAACTTGGGACCTGATCCCTCTCCTCATACAACCTATTCACCTATATCTACCTTCTCTTGCACTTCTCCCCTGCTACTTGTTTTTTCTCCCTTCCTTTCCTTAACCACGATATTGCCAGTTGCTCCATCTCTCCAGAGAGTTTCTTCTCTCAGGTATGAGCAGCCTCTTTCCCCTGTAAGACTTGGTATGATTCCCCCACTGTTAGTTGTACTTGCAATATTTGAAACCCCGCCCTCAACCAGGAAAAAAAAAAGCAAAATGCTGCAAAATTGAGAGAGCCAAGTAATGTTCTTCACTCAGAAAGAAACAATTGTAGGTTCCTGCAAATATTACAATTTTAACCAGTTAAAATGAGTGGGGTTTTATTTTCCTGATTAACTACCTTTGCTGCCTATTTAATTCAAAAGCAGATACTGACACTTTAAAGTTACGGTACCTACTGCCTATAATGAGCTGAAAAATACTTAGAACACTGCTAAAGGAACATTGTTTATTGCTTAAAATACCACTGACATGAAACTATTTTTTGAACTGAATTATCCACATGTACCTCAAAAGCAGGACCTGATGTAGTGTAATGCTCAGAACACGCCACTTCACAGTTGTAATAAATTATTCCTGTTGAGTGAGGACTTGAGAAAAGTTTTGGATTTTACACCCACACAGAAACTACAATTATGTTATACAATATAAATACTACAACACATATAAAAAAAACATCTAGACGTAAGACAGCTTCATTTCCTAAAAAATTCACACCTTCCTCTTCTCAGAATTACTATAGTTCACTTTCAGTACTGATTTTCAGGTTTTCTTTCCCAAGTAATCCTTCAGGACACTGGAGTGCTTTTGGAGAGCAAAATTTGTCAACACAAGGATAGGTATAAAAGAAATTATAATAGGTACACACTTATTGAACTGCCAAGTCTTAATTTGAAGGATATCTACTGTGTATTACTGTACTAGCTCAAGGACAGTCATTCACATGAAAATTGTTCAACAGTGAATGCATTTTGTCTTGTTCAGCAAGTATACTTTATCTATTTTAGTAATAGGGAAGAAAGGCTGCAGAGAAAAATGGTTACTTTAAATTCACTGCTTGACTTAAGACTGCTGGTTTTCAAAAACCTACTCTGTGCATTGGAAAGACAACAATATCTTTCACTTGAGCTTTTTGTTCCTTTTCATGAAGAGCTGGAACTCTGACAGACTTGCTTTTCAAACCTAGTTAACAGTATACTCATAGAAAAAGGCAGTCTTAAATGATAAAACAGCAGTTTTCAATAATAATCAATACTTCCACACTTATTGTAGAGGTATGCTCCTGGAAACCAAGCAGAAGCCCCTGGCCTTCTGGAAAAGCAATGACTATCAAATACAAACCATGAATCCTACCATGTGGGAGCTGGAACAGAGATTTTTGTGAACAACTGCATAGATTTCCACACTCAGGGAACTCTACATGCTACAAGCTGATGCCATTGTTAGTTAAAACCTACAGCCCATTTAGATTGAGACATTTGATAGATTACAGCAATGCTTTGAGTGCTTGCTCTTCAAAATATCTTCAAAATCTACACACACAAAGAAAATAATGAATTTGAAAAACTTACAGGGATTCCTATGATATTATCTTTACCGCAGTGGACAGATTTCCAGAACAGAGCTTGAAGAAAGATTAGCAGGCATAGAAAAATTAAAACAAACAAACAAACCCCACCAGAACAAGTTTAAGCCCTGTACTCCAAGGGTTAAAATGTCATTTTCCAGAAGGCATAAAGGCAACTAAACATATCTTAATGGACTATGTAAATTTTGTGACTAAAATACATTCTTTTCCTTTCCTCTCACACAGGAAGGCGCAGCTTGAATTGAAATAACCAGAACTTTTACTCATGCTCTGCATATATGAATGATAAGTGTATATTAGTTCAAAAATACCGCCCCTGCAGAAGTCATGTTCAGGAAAATGACCTGTTGTGTTCTCCCAACCTTCCAGAGTTGCCCCAGCACATAACTAACTGACATCTGGCAGACAGAACTCCTCAAACCAGTATAAAGAAGAGGTCTGAAAGAGGACTACATAGGAGAGGAAAGATAAATACATGTTATCAACTGAAAAAAATTGAAAGCATCATACAATCTAATCTATTCCAGATTAGTAGGGTCATCTGTAGGTCTGATAGCAGGTACCCACAGAGCACACACCTCTGCATGAAAGAATGAAAGAACTTATCTTCCACATGTCACATATAAATACGCATTCCTCCAGCCCAAGGAAAGGGCAAATCTGAAAAAAACCTCTTCTCAGTCAATGAACTCAAATAGGATAGGACTAAAATCTATCTCATTTTCTTGGGACAAGAAGTCAATAATGATGTAACACCTCCAAACTGAAACCAAGGAACATTTTATTTCACTTAAGAATTAGAATGACCTTGTTGAAGCACAGTTTAGCAAAAAGTGAATCTACAAGAGCTGTCTACATTTAACCTAGAATTTTCCATGGTGTTCACTTCTCAGACACTTGAGCTTTGAACCCTATGGAAGGAGACTGTGTGTCACCTAATGGCACAGCATCTATTGCAATACAGCTGTAATCCTTAAATGAGGCTCTTGATGCAAATAAACACCATCAAAACAACCAATTCATCCTTCCACAAAACTTAGATAGAACTGAAGTTATATCATTATAAGCAACCTTTTCTTTACAGAACATAACAATAACTCTGAATTCTATATGTCCTACTGCAATGACAAATACAATCAGACCCTACCATACTGTTAGAGGTCTGATAAGACACTGCCTCTTTGTCTCAAACAAAGAGGCAGTGAGCAGTAAGTATATGACAGTTCTGATATTTTCTTATTATGTCAACTCTTCCCACCCTCATCTCTTTTGGACTGGGACTGGATTTCATGTGTGTTTACAAAGTGCTTTCAGGGCCTGTACATCTCAATAAACCATAAAGATAAAAATACAAGATCTTTCAAGTTTTAACACATGCTAACACCTAACAGGTACCTAACAGTCCTAGGACTACAACTGAAATAGAACAAGTTTGGAAGCCAAGCAGCTCAGAGGAAACATCTCAGTGAGAAAGCAAGCAGACTTTTCCAAGACCTCAAAAGGTATTTCTCAGATGCCTGGACTTCTACCAGTGCGCTGTCCTTGAAACTTACCTTGGAACACCATCTTGTACAACTGCCTCTGACTTGTGGGTGTCTAATAAATTTAAACTCACATCTCATTCTAACGGCTAGAAGATGAAAGCAGCTTTCGAGCAGTCAGTTAATATGGGTAATTTATCATAATATGCTTGGGGGTACCTTGGAATGTTACCTTAATAAAGAGATGGTGTATCACCCTCAGATATATATTATGGTTGTGACACAAACTGAATGTTCTTTCTTCAGACTTCTAAGCATGAGAGCATACAGAGTATTTGTCTGATGAGATTTATCTAAATAGCAGACATTACTTAAAAGAACAAATGCTGGATGAATCAAGGAGCATGTATAGGAGTGTTTAATCTTTAGCATGCCAGCTTGAAACCATAAAGGTCAATTGAAAACAAGCATCTATGTGATGCTAAGTTCAGAGAGCCTACAAAACGAGTCGGTACGTAGTCCAGGTCTTTCAGAAAATGCTGCTGTATTTTATATCGTTGTTGGTAAAGGGCAAAACATGATTAAAACCAAAGGTACGCTAAACTCTACAAGAAAGTTAAGGCAATAAAAGTATTAAAAGTGCTACGAAGTATTATAAAAGTGTTATAAAAGTAATCTTCTGACAGCAAAGACTGTTAATCTGTCACCTTTCACAAGCCAATAAAGTGATACCGTAACTCCCTATTCGACTGGTGTCTTTAATGAAAACATCATTTTACCAAGTTTGAACACATCTGACATCTTCTTAAAGAAAATTCCCTTTTTTCCCCGTCAGGTGAAATAGGTGCAACAGATGAGCACTTTTGAAATTAAATACTGCATCCAAAACTATGAAAAATAATAATTTTTCTAAATCTCTGTGCTCTTCATTAAAACATAAAAATCACATGAAAGCTCATACCTGAGGCCGCATCCTTGGGTTCCATCTGACGTAGTAGTTCACCCATAGTTCCAAATGGTTCAAACTGGCAACAGGATATAGGACATGATTTTCATAGTTTACGTAGAAAGGATTTGTGAACTCATCTAACTGGCTGTTTATATAGGACCACAGCGATACAGTCTTTGTGCTTACCTCCTGATTGAAAAAAAAAATAATAATCACAGGGATTGCAAAACCTTAAAATATGAGGTTAACATCTATGTATCAGTAACTTTGCCTGTGCAAGCACTCTGAGAAAACTTCCAGTAGCTGATCATTAAACAGCCTTAAAACTTCAGCAAAACATTTGAACACTTAATCCAGTCCAAGGCTAACTGAGAAAGGAGATTCAGGCATATTATTTTCAGAAACACTAAGGTCTAGTTGAGCAAAAGAAAGCTGTACTGCTTGTAATTTACAGCAATGTTTACAGCTATTTAAATTTATGGTTACACACTGACCAATTTAAAAAAAAAAACAACAAACCTTTGACAAGAAAATCAGTGAAGAGACGTGTAGTTTAGAAGATCCAAAACAGCCTCTGTGAAAAAAATTATTCACTTCTTCCATTCACACTATTTGCTCCTATCAATTGATACTATGGTTTAAAATGCCTATTTTATCTTTATCTGCACTTCTGAAAGTTGTATTATTCTAAATGTAATCAGCATAATCATGGTTAGATCAAAGATTGGATATCTGAACTCACATCAGATTAATCTTGCAATTTTGCACTCCTTTGGTGTTGTAAAGCATGTGTTTCTACTACCACTGTGTCTTAAATTGCATTTCTTTATTGAGAATTGCATCTGGCTATTCGTTTATGAAAGCAAGCTGTCTGGAAACCCTGCATGTGCTGAGAACACGTTATTCAGCTCCATCTTGTGGTATTGTGGGTGCTGATAGATAGGAGGCTGAACATGAGCCAGCAGTGTGCCCAGGTGGCCAAGAAGGCCAGCGGCATCCTGGCCTGCATCAAGAACAGTGTGGCCAGCAGGAGCAGGGAAGTGATCCTTCCCCTGTACTCTGCGTTAGTGAGGCCACACCTTGAGTATTGTGTTCAGCTCTGGGCCCCTCAGTTCAGGAAGGACATTGAGGTGCTGGAGCGGGTCCAGAGAAGAGCAACGAGGCTGGTGAAGGGAGTTGAGCACAAGTCCTATGAGGAGAGGCTGAGGGAGCTGGGGTTGTTTAGTCTGGAGAAGAGAAGGCTTAGAGGTGACCTCATCACTCTCTTCAACTACCTGAATGGAGGTTATAGCCAGGTGGGGGTTGGCCTCTTCTCCCAGGCAACCAACAATAGGACAAGGGGGCATGGGCTCAAGCTCTGCCAGGGGAGGTTTAGGTTAGATGTTAGGAAGAAATTCTTTACAGAAAGGGTAATCAGGCACTGGAACGGCCTGCCCAGAGAGGTGGTGGATTCACCATCCCTGGAGGTTTTTAAAAAGAGATTGGACATGGCCCTTAGTGCCATGATATAGTAATTGGAGTTGGATCAGGGGTTGGACTTGATGATCTTGGAGGTCTTTTCCAACCCAATCTATTCTATGATTCTATGATTCTATGGTTTACATGCATCTTTTCCCCTACAGAAGCAGTAAAGACAAACAAAAAAAAAAAATCAAAGCCAAATATAGCAAGGAATTGTTACTTGCTTTAAAAAATATTTAGTATTAAAAACAACAAAGACAAAAGTACACAAAAGTGTACTTGGAATATGAACAAACTTTTAAGGTTTATTTTCCAAACTCAAAGTATTTCATTGAGTCCTAACTTCATTCATTTAGATATTTTAAATTTCCGTAGTCTTCAATGATAAGTTCCATCTCTTTATGTCCTGAAGTGACCTTCAAAGTCATCCATAGGAGTTCCTTTGGAAATAGCAAAATAAATGCCTATATAATTTGAGAGTGATTATTTAAAATTGTATATGTTGGCTAGAACTATCTGAAACAGGACTTTCTAAAACCCTCAAACCTCTGAATAGATAATAACTAAAGAAAAATAAGTGCAACCTCATTTAATAGCAGGGCATTCACCATGCATTTCTCATAACATTAAATTTCATGTCTGCATTGTCTTTTAAGACTATGTGACAAATGTATCCAAAAACACAGGTCAGATATTCTTAGGTCTTGTATTCTAAGCATTTTCATATAAAATCAGCAAACTAAGAATGTTTATTACACTAATTATTTACCTCTTTTAATCTCTCTTTTTCACAGTTGCATAAGAAAGTCCCAAAGAGACAACTGTAAAGGTGATCCAGAATGGTGATCAAAAATAACTCATTGAATTCAAAGGCTGCAGGAAACTGAAACAAAAAATTGGTAAAATTACTTTAAACTTTATTTTAAGCAGTGTAGAAAGGAAGAAAATCAGATGTAAGAAATAACCAGAAGATTCAGATAAGATTATTTGAAGAAAAACTCAGCTATTTCAGTAATTCCCATTGCAATAACACATTTCACCTACATACTTCTTTATAAATATTCCTCAGAGACAAACCTTACATTCATTATGTGAGTATACTAGAATACAAACAGAAACATTAGCTAATGTGAAACTGGTGACATAAAGCAATCCATTTTAAGGAGCTCTAACAGTATTCTGTTCTAACCCACCCCAAACTGTCTTCAACACATGCTTTATTTCTATTCTTACAGGACAATAAATCATTTTTTTAAAAAAAGAAAAGAAGATGACATTTAGGAGTCTTATTTCCTCTTTTAACATGCAATGAATTGGATAATAAAGACTACTGCACATAAAATTTGCTTCACATCTATTTAAAATGTTTCTTTCACTTTCTACCCATATAAGTTATTTTTCTCTATTTTACCCCTTGAGTTTACCATCAGCTATGTACAATAAGCCTTTAATCTCTCTTCTTTTATACTGGAAAGTAAATCCTGTATATCTGAAATGAAAGAACTCTAATTCCAGTGAGCACCACTGGGTATTTAATTCACAAGTACAGGTTACCAGATACATTCTAGAAAAAAACCAAACAGAAATTTGAAAGCACACAAAGTATTTAAGATATATCTTAAATCTGTAGTGCTCTAAAAACGGCAAAGGAAGAAATTAATGCAAACTACATGGGCTGCTACCTATTCAGATGGAAAAGGTCCTTCTTCAATCAAACTTTATCATAGGACTACATATGGCAACTGCTTGATGTGTCAAAATAACTTTGCATTTGGTATGACAAGGGCCCCAAACACAGATAGGGAATGATAAACATTTAAGATTAGAAAAAACCCAAAACGTTAGAAGACTAAATAAAATATAAGAAGTAGCATTTCTCTCATTACCACAAAAGAAAGTGTTATAAGAGACTAATTTTCAGGACAAATGAATTTTTTTTTTTCTTTCCCACTAAAGGAATAAATCTCTGCAGAAGTCTAAAATGCAAAGTTTCAGATTCTTAAGGAAGAACTTCCTGCTATATGGAGAAATCTCAAGTCAATATTTCAGATCCGAAGAACGCAGCAGGTTTCTGTTATGCGCCACAGAAGAATACTGAACACCTTGGCATGGGTGACTGAAGAGCTACCTTAATTTTTTTTTATTTTTTTTTAAAAAGGTAAGTATAGCTAGGAGGAATAACACAGCAACTGGGACTGTGGATGAACTATCTGATCCAGAAATTCCTCTTCAATGTCATCTGTGAATTATGAAGGGCAAATGTTTATTCATGTTGAAAGAGTTGAATAACACACAAGTGGTGTGCCTGTATTAAGCCCAGAAAGTTCTAAGTTTTAATCAAAAATCTTCTTTTAAAAGAAGATTGATTTAAGTCAAACATTGCAAAAACATTCTCTTTCCAAGACTTCTCAAGCTAAAACATACCAACTTTCAACTGAAAATTCTGAGTAAGGAAACTATCGATATCATGGCTCACAAAATGAACAGAGCCTTCTTTCTTCTGTCTCTGCTAGGGATTCCGCACTGTTCAGCAGCACGGCGTGCTCATGCTGGGGCTTCTCTCTCAAATCACTGGTTTATTTGCAATCACCTTGACATTTGTTTTCATAAAACATATAGGAACTTAAGATTAACAAATTATCTTTTTTCAGTCATGTTCAAAAGCTATTGCTTACAACACTTCCTTCTCTCAAAACTCAGTTACAATATGATGTTAACAGCACAGCTATGATTTTTAGAAAATATGGACAGAATTGATAAGCAGATGGGCTGAACCAAGTCGGCAGAAAATTCAGTGGGTCTCAGACCTCAATCTCCTGCATCCAGCCCAAAGCAGCAATCAGACACAGACAGCAAAAATAATTTGCAAAGAATCAAAATGATATTTGGAAATATCTTTGAAGACAAAGCCTCTCCTAAAGGGACTCTCTTTAACTGAAAGCACTTAATGAGCCTTGTCACATTAGGGTTCTGTGTTGTGACGGGTCCATACTAATCAGATGGATGCCGACACAGCTGCTATTCCAATCCAGTGAAGCATATTCAAAATTCCATACATCAGTGGTTGCACTCCAACTAATTCCTTAATAAGTGATAGCACTTTATTGAAACCCTGTCTTTGGATACAAGAGTTGTACTGTTGGAGCTGATGTATCAAGACTGTAAAGCTTCTATTACCACTGCAGAAAAATCACTGACCTAAAAACGCTTTCCTCTGTAGTTCCAAGCCCATTAGCGTCTGTTTGAAGATTCAGGTGGAAAAATTCCCCAAATGAAAATTTACTTCTTGTCAAATCCACTAATTGTGAGAGAACACATGGGTCATTAAAATCTCCCACTTGATGCTGCTGAAGTTGTTGGGGTTTTTTGTAAAGGAGGTATTTAATAGAAGAATCCTCTTGTTTAAGAAGTCTGATGATTCCAAGTGACATCTGATTGAGAGACATGCAAAATAAACTTGCTTTTTAATCAACAAGCTTGTTCTGTACTACAAGTGAGATTTAAAGCTGAAACACTTTGCAGAATAGTTCTTATGATTGCGGAATTGGACTGAATCAGGTTAACTGAACATTAAATATACCAGAGTACACTACTGAAACTAGTGAAAAATGCATCTCTGGCAACAGATGACATCTGGTAACAAACAGGATGTAACTTTCTACCAACTTTACACATACCTTCCTCCTGTGTGGTAGAAAGGTAGAAAGCTACTACTTGAGCTGCAATGCTACATGCAGATTTTACAGTTTTGTTTCATTTTTAACAGGGCATCAGTATTTCATCAGATCACATGTGGCCTTTCCAATTTGGCATCTCCTATTCAAAATTTACTAACAGAGGAGGGAAATCACTTCACCATATGTTTTTTACTAAAACCTGATATCAATGTTCTTCTCTCAAGCTCTCTATGACTGTATTTGTGTGTCATGAAGACCATAAAAAATAAGGGAAAATGTAAGGCTGTCAAGGACTACGTTTCACTGTCTGAAGCTACCCAGAAATTTGTATCTTAGTGGGAAGTTAGAGATTCTCTCACTGTATAAAGTCGACTGTTTTAAGAATGTAATTCTCAGAACCCAGAAGAGAATATGTGCTTGCTTTGAGCGCATGCCCAAAGCCAAGCCCTTATACCCTCCCGCAGTCATCAACACTTATTTGAGCTTTGGAACATTTCACATATGTTTACCATGGATTCTAAAGCACAAAACTAGCACTGTTTTACGAGCAAGTGATCTACACAAGGATAAAATAGAATCCTGGTTTTCAGAGGTCCATGTCAATGTAATCACAATCTTCACATCTATTCTCTAGACATTGAAGTCAACTAAAAAATAAAAATAAGTGGGCAAGAACTCTCCAAGAATGACATTTTCTTTTTTCTTTTCCTGCTGTAACATTAATGATTTTTCAATGCCACTGCTGCTCATGAATTTTAGAACAGTTTCTGGATCCAGGTTTTGAGCAGATGTGGCATTGGCAAAATGTTTCACAGATTCCCCCCCTGCCCGTGTCCCTCTCTCTCTCTCTTTTTTTTTTTTTTAACTAAAGGGAACTAAACTGTTTATAGCAAGAAATTGGAGGCAGCAAGTGAGATCACAAAAATAGAAGAGGCTGCTCTCAATTAAGGATCTCCCCAGAGGACTTTTGTTCCTACCAGGTGTTTAGAACTGCTTCTCTTTGCTATTGTTATTAGCTTTCCGCTGAGAGAGGGGCACAATTTTTCATTTATTTTCTCCAGTAATACTAAACAGAACATTAATGCTGAAATATAGATACAAGAAAGAGAAAGTCTTCAAGGGACTCTGGACAAGGGCTCAGTATTACAGCAGAGAACTTTCACAAAGCACTGAAGACGACTGTTTTGAATACAAGTTTTGGAACTGTGATGAAAGGTTTTAAGAATCATGTTCAGAAGAAGAATGAGGTAAGAGACCTGGGAGTGCTAGTGTCATATGGAACCAGATTGTTACCCTCCTCTCTTCAAAACAAATCACATACGATACAGGCTTTGGTAAAATGGCTTTTACCATAATAACACAGATCTGTTAGGCTTCAAGAAGAAAACAAAGAGAGGAAAAAAAATAAAAAAGGGGAAAAAAAAGGAGTCAGGCACTTCTAATTTACTTGGTAATAAAGCCTTCATGTGGACAACCTATTTCAGTAACCCCATTAAGGAACAGCAATATAAAAGCTCAGAAAAATCTTAAGTTTATGCTCATGGAGGTACAAATAAGGAAAATGAAGGCTAAAGCCATCCTATAATTTTTTTTTTTTAATTTAGAACTTTAATATTTTGATATCTTAAATACCACTAATTTCAAAGATCTTCCCTGATCCAGAGGTAAAAGCAGTGTCAGAAATAAGAAAACTTATCTGAGAATAGGCTTGTATGTTAGAAATGCTGCCCTGTATGCATAATAATGCCAACATAGACTTACATTTCACATTTGAGACATACAGAGAAGAACTCTCTTTTCCCCCCAGGTCACAATAGCCTGGGTTTTTGCTCTTTCTTAAAGACAATATAAATCCATAAGAACACATACTCCATCAGTGAAGATGCAACACAAATAGTTTATCTCACCAATAACTCTCATTTATGTAATCAGAAAATCTGTTGAAAGCCTATTTTAAACAAAAAGGATTCCTGGTATTTTGGTTTCAAGTCAATACCTCTACTCTAGCTCCTTGTACCTCACAGTGTGTAAAAATCTTCCTATATGTGCATGGTGCAGCCACAGCATGACCAGCTTCAGGAAAACATGCTACTGTTCTGCAAAGAAATGTGTTCTCCTATATTAATTACATTTCCAAGATGGACCCCGTAGAAACATACTCTGAAGTATCTTACCTGCTTTGTCATTTGCCAAACACAGTCGATGAACTGCAGGAAAATAGGAGATCTGTCTGCATCAGCATGATCATCATCTCCATGTCCTACTCGCTGGAAGTCAAAACAAACTTCTCACTTCAGTCTAGTGTACTTACAGCACCATCTCAACACTGTAAAACTCAGTAACTCTTAAATCTGTTGCCAGGATGAACAAGACAAATCTTCCATAATGCTAACCTGTATTTTTCAGCTACTAAAAACACATCCAAATACTCACTTATGGACATGCCTTTGATGTTGAGCAGAGTGAGAAAGGCATTTGATCAATAAAGTTGTGCCAGTTGTTTCTCCATCTTTCACTGCACAGATGTTTATTTCTACTGATGGGTCAAATCAGTAACTATTTACTAAGACTGACTGTACTGAAACGATTGTTGAATATCCATATTGAATATGCCATAACTACATGTCATTTCACCTAAACCACCTTAGAGTCAGAGCCCACAAGATGTCATAAGAATTTGTATCCTAATTCCCCACTAGCCCATGTGTTAAACAAACACTTCAACCTTAAATTAGAATAATGGTTCCAGCATTTTTACCTTCTAGACTTCTTAATTGTTTTCCTTGTTTCTCCATGCATAAGACTGTTAAAGATGAGGCAATGTGTTACAATCCCCCTTCATCATAAAAAAGCCATATGATTTTTTTAACCATCAGGTTCAACCCAATTCATTCTTATTTACTTTGTATTATATCTCACATAAAGATCTCCTGTTAAAAATGAACAGGTCACAATTCTCCTTTACATATAATCTGACACTCTCACACCATTAAAAGGACACCAGAGATAATAACTAAAGTCCAGCAAAGAACTGTGAGAAAACACGCTATCCAAAATAAAAACCTTGAAGGTGACAAACTGCACACTAAATCTTTCAGCTTACCATTGCAAATCGGTGTCCAAAACTCGTCCATTCTTTCTCTATAAGAACTTCAAATCCCTTGATAGTTCTGTAATAGCTGTCCAGCATAAGCATAGCCAGCGCAGTAAGCTGTGCAGTTCGATCCCAACCATCACTGCAATGTACCACTACAGATGTTTTACCAGATTCAATTTTATCTGCAATTCTTACTGCTCCAGCAAGAAGCATCTTAAATAAAAAATAAAAAAATACAAAAATAAACAAGCATATTAAACCTTAACCAAAACACTACCAAAAAAAAAAGAGTTATAATTAAAAGTTTAATATATTCTAAAATTTCTGACTAATTACATAATTATCTGGACAACATTGCTTTAAAGTAGAGATTTCCAAATGGTGGTATGCATACTCCTAGAGCTGCAAAAACCATGTGCACTCTTGTCCAGGAGAGAGTTCTTACCAGTTCTCCATTATTAGTAACACATAGCAAAATAAGCTGAGAATTCCTTCCCTAAATTAAACCTGAAATTCTGTATTATAATATAAAGACACAAATACTGTGAGCTATTCCAAAGCCTGAAGGTTCAATGTTTTCAAAGTTCATTTTCACAGTAAACACTCTTCCTCAGCTTTCAGTTCTCAGCTACTAAGATTAGAGAAAGGGACAAACCACCCAGCTAATCAAATCAAAACACAACCCAAACAAACCCAGCAACCCCTGGATGGGAGCCTGTGCTGATTTGCTGGTGCACAAAGTATACATGGTATTCAACCCATGAGCAGACCATCAATAGCTTGGATTCAGAAGCATGCTGGAGAGCAAAGGATAGAGATAGCACAGGACTGAGATAATTTCTGTGAACTTGTTATTTTGTCTCCTCCACAAAAAACCCTCTCTTGTTCTCTTTAGTTTTTTACAAACCTGAATAATCTCTCTCCTGTGAAGAGTTCTCTCTACAACATAACCTACCACAGCACTGAAAAACATGTTAAAAAATAACCAGTAGAATAGGACCACAGGAAAAATTCCCGTTTCTGCATTCCAACATCAGAAAGTGGAATATCGCAAAATGTTTGCATTTACTTCCCAGGCATGTAAAAACATCTGAGAAGCAGGAAAAGCCAGCATGCACTAAAGAAGCTGTGCAGAAGAGCAGTCTTCAAAGCCATTTAAAGAACCATGCTTTAGAGACAATTTTCATTGGTTTTATCTTTCATTGATTCATATATTTTATGGAAAAACTGAAGGATACCAGGATCAAAATATCAGGAAACAACAGAAAACCTTTTATGGAAGAACAGAGCCTGTGGTCTGAACTATTTAATTGCCAATGACTTCAGTTACAAAGCTCTACTGCATTAAAAATCTGCAAATATTTTAAAAAGTTTGATCTTCAATTAAAGGAGAAAACTAATCTATATAACACACAGGTATGCAGTAGCTTGCTCTAAATTGTTCCAAGGAGAACACAGATGTCTCTGAAGGAGAACAGCTGAAAATAAAATGACAGAACAGATATAGACAATAAGCAGAGAACAGGAGGCAGAAAAAAGAGTCACGATAATTCAGTATCTGTGGAGTAGGTGAAGCATTTTATTCGACAAAAGCTTTTAGAAAAATGAACAGCTTCCTGCACAAACTATTATTATTCTTTATAGATATTTTAAAACTTAGCCACCATCACAGTGTTTGAGTTAGGGCTCCTAATGAACAACTGGCTTTGGATTGGTTTAGAAAATGAGAGTTGGTTTGGAAATAATTAACAGCACAAGCTCTACCCTGAAAGACAGAAAACACCCCGGAGGGCAAGAGGAAGCACCCTGGGTGTGCAAAAAGCAGTAAGTGACTCTACTCCTGCTGTTACTACTGTCTTCACACTCACAGAACATTACTGGAGCCTCACCAGACACTCCTGGACCATCTTCAAAGTACTGTGCGTGCCCAGTGCTAGAAAGGTGAATTTCCAGTAATGCATCACATTAAACTGGGACCCATCACACTGGTCTGAGCCCAGAAAACAGAAGATGTGTTAAAGTAAAGTTGTGGATTTTTTAGTTGCTGTTACAAGCCAAATCAAATAGGCAAGGAAGGCAAGCAATTCTTGGATAAAGCACAGGGAGATATTATCAATAATGCTAACACAGTAATGGCAGCTTTTAAGAAATCAGGCTGCAGTTTGTGCTGTCAACACTGTAACGTGAAGTCTCATGTAAGAAGAAGAATGGAGAATGTTACATGTGTGTCACACATTTAAATGTCATTTAAATGACATTTCAAATTGCTATGCTATTGTAATCTGTGCAACAGGGATATCAAAGTCCCCTTCTGACTCCATTTAAACCCAGAAATCCCACTGAAGTCAACGTCAATGAAAGGTGACCACTGGCCCAAACAATTCCACTTTTAAAAATAAACTATGGTGTTTAAGGCCAGGTGGGTAAGAAAAGATTTCCAGATACTCAGATTCCCAAAGCTGTTTGAAATAGTCCAACTTCAAGAGAACAAGAAAATTAAACTGTTCCCAAAAGATCATTAAATTTAATTCTTCATTTAAGTGTTTGCTCCCTCTACTGGTTTCTCCTGCAGCAGTTAGCAAGCACTAGTTAACAGAAAAGTAAAACTAATGAACAATCCCAAACATGTTTTGCGTGAGTGACATTTGAGCCAATTGCTAATAAACCAAATTCCACTTCATCCATATTCATCATAAACAGGGGAGTGAATGTGGTAATGAAATAATCTATTCTAAAAGCATTTCAGAGGTTAGTGAAACAGACTGTAAAACTGAGTATGGTAGTGATTTATTTTAATATTATGTTAAATAATAGAGCAGATTATAACCCAGTAGAGCACTGACTATAAACAGCCCATGAAAATGTAGGTGCTTGACACACGAATGCTAACGTTGCATTGAAGGAGGGAAGGATGAGAAAGACTGCAGAATTTACAGTCAAGTCCTTTTGGCAGTTGTTCAAATATAATCTGAAGTTCCCAGGGCATTCTTCCAAAAACCAGGGATAACCCTGGACTGCTCACAAGCATTCCCTCTCCAGAAAATAAAACATGGTCCAACAGTAAATATGATACTGTGCTATCAGGAATTAACTCATTACCGACCAATACACAAAACTGGAAATACAAAGTTATTATGGAATTCTTAAAATGCCATGTTCTAAGTGACTATTTCAAAATTAAGCTTTTTAAAAAGATTATCCTGATCAAAGCAGTGTGCTTACATCTAGACATTATCTTAGTAATATTTTCAGAAATGTAAGTTAACAACATGATTATAAAAAAAAATTTGATTTTTCACATCAAAAGTATTTTACCCTTATATATTCCAGCCAATGTGTGGAGTCCACATTTGATAACCACCGAGTCTCATCAATAGTAGGATAAACTATTTCTTTAAGTTTACGCAGGGATTCTCTCATTACATGTATATTATGAATTTCCAGAAAGACCAGCTCTGCATTTGGGTAGGCACTTTCACTTTCATATCCTCCACCTTTTGCCTGTCATTCAAAAAGTGAAAAACAGACAAAGAAAAGAACACGAACAGGACTTCAGTATAAGGCTGAGCGTTATTTTGGTCAGGTTTCAGAATCTTCTGACAGAAAGGACTATTTTAGCATTAATAAAATCATATTTTTGACTTTTGTTTTTCTAAGAAACACTAGGGTATTTTTTTTAATGAAAGAAATTCTAATTGTACTAGGGTACATTTGATACTACATCTATACACCTTCCCCTTTTTACTGCTGAAATCTTTGGTCTTCTGTGGGCTTCACTGCATCATTTCTCAGCTGCAACTTCATGTTGCCTTCAGTTTCTGCCAGCCTTTCCAAAATGCTACAAGCAACTTACCTTCCTTCCCACGCCCCCTTCAGAGACCCTTTTTTATCTATTTTCAACATCAAGTTCTCCTCATCCTCATCTCTTACTCAATCTTTAGCCTTGTAATAAAGACAGAACTACTAATGCTAGTTATAATACCAACCTACCTTGTTTGTATCTGCAACACTATTCTGTCTGGCATCAAAGATGATAAGTTTATGTGACTGAGCATTGGCATCCATTATTGTCTGCAAATATTTTTCATCTTCTTTGCAACGCTTATCATTTGGGCCTACCGATGGCTGACTGCATCGTGTTATTGTTGCTTGGCTCTCAGGATGAATCCAGGATAACACCTGGAATAAAAGAAAATTATTTTAGTTTACTATACTACTATAAAAGCAGGAGGCCAGAGTGCAATCAGACAATCACACTGCGATTTCCTGGCAAATCAACAATTGCAAATTCAAGGACAGGCTGATGCAAAACCGTATTGACAGCACACTAGCACTGCTCATCCCAAATCTGAGCTTGAAATAAAAAGTGATTCTAAACATCTTAGTTTTTATTCCTAATAAAATAGGATTATTTTATTAGGAATTTAATTTATAAATTATTTTATTCCTAATAAAAACTAAGCCCACTACTGCATCTTATTAATTAGAAAAAAAAGAACAATGGAGGAAGAAAAACTGCTTCCATGTGGAAGTCTACAGACCTGTACACTACCTTGCTAAGCAGATCTGTAGCATGAAAACGGTCACCATCTAACATATTTAAAGCGGTTCTTATGCGACCTACAAAACTTGTCTATTCTCAAGAAAACTGCTATGGCAGTAACACATTCCAAGCCAAATCAGAACTCAAGCTGATATGTGAATTAGCATCAGATACCATTGTGGCTTAGAAGTGTAAAAAAAAAAAGTTATTACACTGCACAAAACCCAAGCAATTAGATTCACATTTGAGTTACTCTCTTCAGTTCTAAGCCCATCAAGCCTAATTCTCCTTTCTTTGACCCACCCTTTCAGGAAGAAAGCCAGCCCACTGTTACGTAAAAAAAGCCTAAAAGAACTCTGATAATTTCTTACAAGATACAAATTTGTAGAGCACTTTTATCTCCTTGTAAAAGCTTCACTTACTGGAACTCTGCCTTTTGCTCTAAATGCTGCCACTTTTGAGAGGTCATCATCCTTTACACTGGTTGGCACAACAAGAATGGCAGGATACGTATCACAAAGCTCATAGGTGCTGTTAATTTTGGATATTTTCCAACTCTCATTGGGCAAGCCCTGCAGGAAAGAAAAACATCTTTGTTTTTTCCAGGTTAGACCTTTACATATCTGAGTTCAAAATTTTTATATGTTATGTACATTTTTTTTTAAAGTGTGCCCACATTTTCCTTTTCAATAAGCTATAAATTTTAGGTCTTTAGAGTGAACCATAAACCATAACACTGGAAGTCTTTCCTATTTATTATCTTCACAAATGATATGCAAAATAACCATTTGAATAGGCTTCACACTCAGCTAAAACGTGATCATGTAGTGAAATAAAAATACTTTTACAAATAGGAAACTGTAGATTTACAATGACAAACTACAGTCACTCTTCTATTTAATGCTGCTTTTTCAAATCCAAATTTTTATAAAGCCTGTATTTTCTAGTAACACCACTTGGAAAATGTGGATTTCAGAATTCATGTTAAGATAGATCAGTGTGCTCAAGTACTCAGCACCTGTTATCTCCACCAACTTCAGCAGGTGCACAACACTCTCAAAGTCAGGCTGCTTACTTTCTATTATCTAAACACGACATCTAGACAGTCTCTGTACATAGGTAGACCTGAAAATGTTGAGTTTTATTTAATATTTTTTTTCTTGTTTAAATGGCTCTAGGGGAGATGAGAGAAAAAAATAAGATACCAAGTACTTGTATAACTTACCTGCCTCTTATATTCTGCCATTGGATCATACACTTTCCAGCCATTAACAGCAAACTTTTCTTTATAGCTGAATGCAAAAAGAGGCTAAAGACAACAAAGCAAAGGCATAAATTACTGTCTGATGGGCTGTATGCACAATAAGCTCCAGAACAGTGAACGGTCTAATATTTCAAATGTAACACTTCTAACACTCTTTAACAGCAGACATAAAAGCTTCAGTCTAGACTGGACAACACTGTGCTAGAAAGAAAATGAGAGACAGTTTCCTCCTTCAAGTACATGCTAGATAATTAACAAAATCAAGATAGGAAACAGTCAGAGAGAGCTGAAGTTACTTGCCTGTGATCATACAACACATCAATGGCAAAGTCAGGATGAGAAAATTGGTCTCCTACCTGCCAACCAGCTCCTAACCCATACAAGCAAATGAAACAGCATTCCACAGCTAACTAATAATAAGACTAATTATACCTATTTGTTGTTTCAGACAGAACTTCTAGACTGAATTACCTACTGCAGAAAATAAGAGTCAATGCACACTTATTTTTAGTCAGCAACACCAGGCAAATCTAGATCTCAAGAGTTATATACAAAATAACCAACTACATGGATAGCAGGACACAGCATAATGTTTTACAAATTAATGCAAAAAAGAAATAGAGTCAGAGTAGCTTGCCTGCTCTGTACCAGATTTTATGAATCAACATTTCAAAGTCTGTTCTACAGCCCTTGTGTTTCCTCACCTACACTTTCCAAAAAGAGAAGAGCCAGCGACAGCCTTCTCTACTTCTGAAGACTTACCAGTCCATTCGAAACAGGAAATGCGCGTGTTACAAGGTTTTCAAAAATCTCCAACCTGTTCTGCTCTTCCTGTTTATAGGCCAGCCGCAAATTTCTCATATCCTGTCAAAAATAAGTTACACTATTTCACTGGACGATAAATTTAAAAGAAAAAAAAAAAGGCAGAAGAAATTTGATTGAAGGAAGGTACATATGCAGCACTAAGTCACTGACATCACCTAACCCACAATAGAACACAGCTCTCTAAGTGTTCATATCAGATGACTAGGATTGTCATTAGAGTTGCCAGATAACACAAAAAATAGTAATTTTTCCTTTGAATTCACTCTTGAGACAAAAGGCAGAAGTGTTTAAGAGTGCAAGTATCATAAGAGGAATTGAAATACATTATCTAACTGAAGCAGGGTTCAAATACAAGGAACTGATCAGACAGAAAAACAGCACATGTGCACGCAGATTCCTCTTACAGAAAAAATAAATGAAAATATTTTAATAAAATAAATCTCTACCGTGCCATACCTTGCAAACTATTTCTATACCACATGAGTTGTCACCATGGCTCTGCACTCCAATTTTTTCAACCCTACTTATGACTCCAAGGGGAACATCAACAACAAAAGGTGGATCCTGAAATTTGTATATAAAACAAATGAATTTTGTTACATTAGGAGGAACACAAACTAATATCATTCATGTATGTTTCATCAGTCAACTATAATTCCTGTTTTAATAGACTGCTGTGGAATATCATTTTTCATTTACACCAAATTTGTCACTGTCTGACATCTACTTCAGCAACATTCCTACCTGAAATAACGTGCAGATAGGCAGCGAAGTCTTACCCTTTCAACACTTTTGATATACATTCTGAAGTCCGTCACTGTTAGTGTACCACTGACTGCTCCCATAAATGGACAGATATACATAACATCTTTAGCTGGAAAACAGACCAATTAAAGCTTTGTTTTACTATTACAGACATTTGTTCCATAAAGATCTATTTCCACTTAAAAAAAGCAAGATTTTTGCAGTTCCATGAGATTTTGATGTTTGACCTCTATAGGAAAGCCTTCTCTTCAGATGCTGTCAGGAGTGAAAGAGCTATCTTTATCTCAACAATGAAAATAAATTCCTCAGCCCCACTGCTGCTCAGCAGCTAATGAGGCTGAGCTAGCATGTGCTGCAGGGAGGGCAGGCAAGTAACAAAGCATCCTGCTGCTATTCTTAGCTGCAGGCAGCTCTGCTCCCTGCCCTGAGGTGCAAAGCACCCACACTCACCTCAGGTCACGCAAAGAGCAATTACTGATGTGTACACAACTGACCTCCAAGTAATTTGGTTTTCTTCATTTCCACTTTTATTTTTCATTAGAGCTAGTATTCTTTTCTAGCCAAGTACTGTACTGCTAATGCAGAGCTTGATGCCACAGGACAAAGTGAAATGAATCACATTAAGAACTGAAAACTTAAGTTTTCCATAACTTCATCTTTGCTATCACAATTTTGAGCTTTTGAATCTATGAAGTATCCTTGGCATCACCAAGCAGAAATACAACCCATATACCTACATAGAACATACTAAGCCTCAAAAAAAATGTATTTATCTATATGGAGTAAATAATCCTCTGGAACTGATTTCTCTTTCAGGCCTACATTTGGATTTCAAAGACAAAGAAAATAAATCCATATCAAATTGGCTAATCAAAAGTGTCATTAAATTAAAATAATAAAAGTCAAGAGGAAATAATAAAATAAACAAACTAGTGATTTTAAAATATACAGTGTAGTACTCAACAGTATTCCTACCAATAACTTTGATTGATTCTCCAGGAAAAAGTGGAGCCTCTTCCATCTGTGCTAGTTTGTTTCCATCCCGCAGTGCCTGGCAGAAAACCAAAACCATGAGTAAATCTCACTTTCCATCTGTACTACACCGGTTTTGATACAAAGTGCTTTTACTAACAGATTACTGGAACACAGAAGTGTATCTTTCTTTACAAGGCACAACTGTATTAAACAGTACCATATTAAAAAAAAAACCAAACAAACCAACAAAACTCAGCATTATAAATATTACACAGACATAGACATTAGTAGCATATTAGTTGCATTTATGCAACAATTAGTTTGACATTCTAGCTACATATAGCATACAAAAATACAAACAGTAAGATCAGCCCAAATTTGCAATTAATGATTTGTTAGTCTTTTGCTAAATGCAGGTATTATTTTGGGTATTTTATCTGCTTGAGAACATTTTAAAGCTTGTATTAATTTTTTTCTATTTTTAATGTTATTTATTTAAAATTTGAGTATTTTCACCTGAGAAAATTATATGGCATAAGCTTTATTTATTTAACACTTTAACTTTGTCTTGTTGATAGCAAGAAGTCAGAAGCACCCCACAACACTCTAATTCAATCAATACCCGACTGAGAGTGACAGGCTGTGGAAGAGGTCCATTATAGGAATTTTGGATCCAGAATGTCAGATTAAGAACAAAGCAATAATGAAATGTAGGACAACAATTAGCAGCTTTAAAATAAGGGCTAGTTCCATAAATTTTCATTTAGGTAAATGGCTTCATTCCTGAATGATACAAGATTGATCCTTCGGGTCCTTCATTGGCAGCTAAGATTTACAATGCACTGAAGGTTTTAATTAAGAGTAAAAGGGTTTGCGAGACTTTTAAGGACCATGTGAGAAAGTGATCTCTCTCAGGTCAACATGAGGAGATATTAAGGTTTCAATTTTTTACATCCTGAAGTGAGAATAAATATAATGGGCTATGTTACAGTAAACAAATTACTCTTCCCTTGTATTACAGCTCTGATCTACATACAAATAATTGGTGGGATCTGCCTGCCTCCAAACAAACTACCCCAAGCCCCCATTAAAAAATAATTTCTGAAGATATTTTAATTGATCTCTGGCTTTAGATTTTCTTGGAAACTTAGCAGAATTTTATATTCAGCACCCAATCACAAAAGAAGATGTGTAGAGAATCAGCCAATACTTCCAATCTCAGGAGGATGGATGTGCTGTCAGATAGGGGCTTACGGGCAGGATTACATTTTAGACTACACGATGTTACACAAAAACCCTGCCGAGCACATAACACACTAAATGCTTTCTATGGATTCTCTTGCATGAGAAATAGAAGACTGCTATGTACTGTACAAGTACTAATATATAGTACCTTGCTACACAGTTAATGAATGAAAGATGAGTAAAACTTGCCACCTGATCAGGTTCTGCTTCAGAATGATAGCCATTGTGTCCATCCTGCATCTCCTGCATTGCACGAGGCAGCAGTAAGGCAAGAGAGGAGTAACAGGAAAAAACATGCAGACAACAGGTGAAAGGACAGAATATTTTCTTTTTTGCTTCCTTTTTTCTTTTTCTTTTTTTTTTTTCTTTCCTTAAAAAGACAGCATATACTTTAAGTCCAGTTTAGCTATTCAAAATCTTCCACTCCTGGCACAAACTACTTTCCACGGAAAGGAATCCAAGCTATTAGCATTATCCTTTTAATGTTATTTGGCACAACACAAAATGAAAAATGTACTCTCTTTTTCACAAACGAGTCAGTGCTGGTAGATAAGAACATAAAAGTATGTACTGTCTTTTTAAAACAAACAACCTTACAGCGAAGAAAATGAATTCAAAGTATGCCACATGTTTATCAATAGAAGGAACTGAGTACAGCTTGCAATGGTAGCACTGGGGACAAACTCATGCGATCTTTCAAGGAAAAAAGAGGTCAACATCAAATAGAAGTATCTAGACAATTTAAAAAATGCTTTACTGTGTAGAATATGTTTTAATTGAACTTTCACTTTTATGGTTTCATGTATTTTTCCAGCATCTTCTGTGTTGTTGCTGGAAACCTAGTCGGTAACTTTACAGAACCTAAAATTACTCCTCATGGTAAAATATGCAAACAATTCATATTTTAATATTAAATTATTTTTGCATCATATTGGCAGCAAATCCTGAATATTATATAAATCTGTTTATTAAACAAAAGGTCCCTATGCACTCCAGAGAGAAGCACAAATGTCATAGGGTCATATGAAGTAATTGTTTTAATATGTTCAGCCAAAATTGTTCTTCCATCTTCTTTCTTTATTAACTGGAGAGAAGTTGTGATCATGACAGTCCCTTTTTCCCAGTTCACATGAAAAGAATTTTGCACTTGATAGACTGTAAATCCAGCCTCACTCTAAATTTACAAATGTTTGCTAAAGTCGATTTTTCTTTTTACAGCATTTCTACTGAACCCTCAAAAAAGAAAAACTTGGAAGAGCTTCAGTTATCTTCAGATAATCTGAACTCTGCAAGAGTTTAAAAAGATATAATTCATTAAAAAATCCCTCCAAATTATAAAGGACTCCTAACATTTATGTATTGGTGAAATGCTGTTAAATAGGAATTGCTTAAATTTCAGACTATAAAAATGTTGTTCTGAAACTAAGGCAAAGTAGATATTGTGATCTCTGGAACAAAACCAGAAGGACAACCAGAAAATATACTAAAAGATTTTACATAATTGAAAGAGAGAGAAGCACAGCAGGTCATTCAAAGATCAATGCCTTTACAAAGAAATATGAAAAACTGAACAAAAACAATCAATTTTTGTTATTCAACCCAGACCAATTATTTCAAGAGCTATCTATTTATATGTATATAAAAAAGAACAACTTGTGAATTTGTATGATTGGACTAAACACATCATTTTCAAATATGTAAACAACGAACAAGAAAAAGAAATCATTCAGACTTCATCTCTCAGTTTGAGGCTGAACAAGAAGTCTTTGTTTGAATAAAAGTGTTAGACACATTTCATGAACAATGTCCGAACACTGTCCAGATCATTTCTCACTCCATAAATGTTACTAAGAGAGAGGGACAAGAAAACAAGGCAAGCTTTTTTTATATCTCCAATGAACACTGGGAAAGTCTCAAAATTATCATTAAAAAGATGCAGGTCATTGCACTGGTGTCTAACTTCAAACCTCACTTTCAATCCTACTACAGGGTGGTGACAGTTAAGGTAGAACACGTACAAAGGCAAGCGTGAACTGGTATCATATTCAAACAGGATAGACAAAGACGTAACATTTTACCACTGATATTCTTTAGCACAGATAAGATGTTAGAGTTACTAATACAGTACTCTGTAGTCCGAAGCATGTAAGCTTCAGTTGCAAGCATCCATTTTGTCAAAATTAATGTAATAAAACTGAAGTTAGTATTGCACATTCATAACATAATTTAAAAATACGGCTCTCTTACACATTGACTTTTATTGCTCACAAAAACATTGTAATGTATATAAAGCATTTCTATGGCAAAGAAGCTGTTGCACTGCATAGCAAAATGGTCTGACTGGTTCATAAAAACCATTAATGAAGTAGAGAAGAACGCTTGACACACCAAGACCTCACACAGCACAAAAGACAAACAGGTAGGAGGCCGTTTTACTGCTAGCCAAAGGTAATCTTACCCGCATAACAGGCCTCCTGTACACCTGTTAGTTAAAATATAAAATGTTATCCAACAAAATGCACAAATGGGATTTGTTAAAGTTACTATATCTTACTTCATCAGACTTTAAGAACTCTACTTCCAAACGTTTTAAATATAGGTGGATTTTGAAAGAACAAACAAAAACTAAGCAGCTCTAGTAGTTCTCATTTGCAGAATTGTTTTGCTCTAAAAACAATCCAGCCACTTCATTCTAGTGAGGAAACAAATGCCAAACTCTTTTGAAACTTATTCTTAATCACCCTTTTATCCAGTTACAATGTGCCATTGTGAAAAGAAAAGAAAGAGCCTGGTAATCCTTCTAGGTGGAAGCCTGCAATGACACACATGAAGTATAACCACCATATCTTTTAGATTCAAACGGCAAAACAATGCTAGCAACATCTCTTCTCAACCTATTTCTGAAGGTGTCTGCAGTTAGCTGCAATAATCCAGTCACTTTTCATTTGTATGAACCCCTCATTCAAGAACACTTTCCAGGCTGAGCGTGTGTCAGAGCAGACATACACAGCAGAGCTCAGACTCATCATGTTGCTCTAAGGTTTAGCAAGCAAGAGCTCACTCAGCGCTCTACAGTTCTGATGATATCACTTGCAGCCCCTTTTTGCTTCCCTTTAGTTCCCCCCTCCCCTAATTGCATTCTAGTAAAGTAAGCTACACAGAGTAACATGAGTAACATCATTAGATACAAGAATAGATATATTTCACTTGTTTTGAAAACATATTGATTGAAACATTAAAAAAAAGATGGAAGGAAGAATAAAGCAGCGAGTTCCTGGTAAATCCACCAGAAAGCAACAGAACTACCTGACCAGCTCCAGAAGCAAACACACGCATCTGGCCCTACCTGAAGTTTCTGAGTTGTTCTAAGACAGTCTCTAAATGCAGCAATTTGAGGTAACCAAAGGTAATGAACACCCAGAAAACTGATCAGCATGCATCAAAAGGGAAAGATATCTCAAAGGAAAACTGAGTTGTAGATGGGCTTTATCCTTTTACACGTGAGTTCCGTAGTTACAATGAACAAACTCAGTCTGTCAGCAGCACTGACTAAGTAACTAATTGCACCAGTGAACTTCTGCAGAAGCCAAGTGCAAAGGAAACCCTCTTCCAAAGCATAGACTCAACTTCACAAGATACTGGTTCTGAATGTAACTAATGATATTCTAGGATAAAAAAATATTCCGTTATGCACAAATATGTGATTTCAAACCTCAGGAATGCAATGATGCCAAATGCAATTTATAAACAAAAATTCTGAATACCACCAGGCTTAAGCTTTTTCTTTAATTTCTAAGAAACAGTGAATGAAGTAGAATTTTAATTAGGCCTTAAAAGACTTACTCCTGTTAAACAATATCCAAGATGAGTTTGGTATAGAGAAAGAGGTTATCTAGAGTTAAAAAGCACACTTTATTCCAGAGACATGCATTCTAACTCAGAGATAAACTGAACACTAAGCTTACACACTTGTTTTTTACTAAAATAAAGTCCTTGATCTACAGGGCAAATACAACAGCGACAGCTGTAATGCAAGGTTTCCCACGTTTTATCAAAGATGTTAGCCTTGACCTGAAGTAAGTATTTGCAATTCAGCTGCCCTAGTATGGAAGAGCTACACTTTTTTTATGAGTATAAGCTGCTGACTGTGCCAATACTGTGAAACTGTGTGAGGTGAATTTTTAAGTAGTCTACAGTCAAAAACATTTTGTGGATTCACCTTCAGGCTTGGGCTGAATCTGACCTGCTGTCACAGAATCTAAAATACTCTGTTTCTGGACAACAAACTTCTAAATCACAGATCGTATTAGAAAATAATTTAAAATCAAGTTAAAATTAAAAAAAAGATAAAATCTTCATTTGGCCATTTTGCATGAAGACCATGAAACAGTTTCAAATCCAGGAAGAAGAGGGATCTAGATAGCAGTTGCCTGGGTTTCTTAAAGGGACTTGAAACACAGGTGACTTTTGTCAATTAGTAAGAGAAAGAAAACTGCGTGTGATCCACTCTTGATAGTTCAGCTGGCTGGCTGCGTGCAGGAAACAGCAAATGAGCACAAAAGAAGAGGGGTAAAAAGCATAAGGGAACCTATAAGGTAAATCATACTGTGCAATTGATACCTTAATGACAAAAATGTGGCTGGGAGGGAAAGAAAATGGTGAATTTTTTTTGTTTGTTTGATGTTAAATTCTCTGTCTCTGGTGAAACCCCATGAAAAATGATAATCATTTACATTCTCTGCACAGTAACAAAGGCATACACATTTATTTACTGTGAAATCTGGAGAGCTCCATTCTGTGCTCTGAATGACACACACTAGAAACAATTTCAATCTGTAACTATTAACATACTTCATCCAAATTTTTTTATGTAGTAATCAAAAGGAAAATTCACTTCTGGCATTTTATTCAAAACATTGATTTTTAATTTTCCATTCACCTGTCTCTCTGTTTTTATTCTGTAGACTTCAATGCCACTATTCTAAAGAGTGGCATTGACAAGGCAGATTCAAAAGGCGTCTATGCATAATGAGATGTTTCTAGTTCTGAAACATTCAGAGATCACTTAAGTACTTACCACCTGATAATCAAGGTAGCAAGGACCTTCCAGATCATTCACTCTTTTATCTCAAACAAATCAGTGCATTCTTCAAGTCACTTACTTACCCTGTAGTCTTTGGACACACCTTCTGATGGGACAGACCCTGAAATCTGACTAGAAATGGTTGCAGCTATCAGCTGTTTACACCATTCCACATGGGATCCAGTTGGGCTACAAAAACAGAATATTTCAAATTATTTTGCAATAATTTAAAATGTCTATCGAGAATAGCATAGCAACAGAGCACATCTAGAAAACAAGACCATAAGTGATCACTAATATAATAAAAATTACCTTGTTTTGTAGGTACAATGCAACTGTTTCACTGATTGAATTAGGGAAAAGAATTTTACTAGATCTTAACAGAGATGTAGAGCTGTCAGAAAATTAGAAACAAGGTTAGATTACCTTGGAACTCATGAAAACGCTGGTTTCTGTATCCAGTGTAATTTTTTTCACCATGCATGCATTTTTTTCTTAAAGCTATCTATGGAATGAATTTGGTCAAGTAATAGGAAACTCCTTACAATTTCCTTACTATTATCTACTGATTATTCCATAAATCCTTGAAATCAAATTACGCTGTGCTAGTATTTAAAGATTTAAACTACACTAGTGTTGTATTCCATATTAATACCAAATATAGAAAAGGCCTGTTTTCTAAAGAGTAACTTATGTTTAGCCATATTAATTTTCATATTCATGAAATAATTTCTGAATATCCTTCAGGATGGGCCTTCCCATGCTATAGCAAGGAATTCCACAGTGTAGGGTGTTTATAAGAACCTTAAAGACAAAGCATCTGAACAACAGAATCACACTATATCACAGATGATGCGTTTTGAGAAGTCGCCTGAACTAGTGCTGCTTACAAATGATGTAGTATAGAGAGTGAGAAGGAATTACACAGATTGTTGCCAGTCACTTTGAAGTGTGCCAGGTCTGCTTCAAACATGCCAGTATCTGATGAGAAACTGGGGATGCCAGAGGGAACTGTTCCCTGCACGCCATGGCAGCCTCAGCTGATGCATCAGATAACTGCCATTTCTTCTAACAGTTCAGCTGGGCTTTTCTGCAGATTTAATGATTATTTGGGATTCAAATACAGAAAGAAAATTTAATTAACTGTTAGGACTCATTCACAAACTGGCTTTCGATCCTGTGAGTATCCCATGACATTGAAGGAATTACATACACACACCCAGCACCCAACAGGTGCACCACAACTTGGGTGCTAAGGGGGTGGGATAATGGCATTTAACAACCCATTGCTAATGAACTAGAGGTGTTTTCTTACATTAGCTCTGCTAGGACAGGCAGATAGAAGGTGAAGATGCAAACAACAACTTCATACCTGAAACAAAAGCTCTTCAAGAACTTTTAGTAGTTTTAGTAGTTTTCTGCCCACCTCTAAAATTCTACACAGTTACTGGATCACAAAATGTTTTGCCAACAAAAATACATTAATTATACTCCTGCTCAAGTAATGAAGATACTCTCTCAGTTAGTGCTGAACTCGAGTTCACTTAGAAAAACTTTTCACCTAAGTTTTGCAAAAGAGTGCATGAGCTGAAGCCCACAGTAATCCTTTTCTTATTTATTCTCATTTATTTCTCCTTCCCTCACAGGCCTTAATTCCAAGTGTATCTCTTTAGGCTTACTTTGTCCAAGTAAGCATTTACTTGTTAATTAAGAAAAGGATTTATTTTTCTATAGCTTATCTTCACCAGGAATCACTATAACAACAAAGCTAATGCCAGTAGGGAAACAAACGTGAATGCAGGTCCACCTCCTCCGAGCAGTGTCTTGGGATGTGTCAGTGGACCACAGGATGCTGATCATACCGATGTGACTTATCACCACCTGTCAAGTGGGACACAGACCAGTACACACCTTCTCATTCTGTCTCATCTGAGGTTGAGCACATCAGTGAAGTCTGGTACAACTGTACTGGCAAACAAAAAGTTATATGACAAATGGACACTATTGCTTTCCCCGGGTAGAACACGATTAGGAGAGAGATGCAAATTAAGATGAGAAAGTGCACTAATAAGGAATACAAAGATCCAAGTTTTGGTGACAGAAATTGGACGTTTGATATCCACCTTCACCGGAAAGATGTAAAACTCCAGGCTGAGCCAAACAGAAAATAGAGAGAATACGGAGACCAGAACCTGGCGCTCATTCTTCAGTACAGTCTTTATTTTTTATCTGGGTGAAATTTCAGTCAGTTTCTACCCTTGTTTAAGGGTTTTTAAATTCAGCTGTAAACTCTGCCTCCAGCTGGAAACTTCTAAAGGAAGGAGTTACTCTGCCAGCAGCTGCTGAACAAGATGTGGTAACAAGCTCCCGTGTGGTTACACCTCTGCAGGTGACACGCTTGCATGGAAAAAAAGCAAAAAAATCGGGAAGAAAGACTGAAAATCCGAGAAGGGTCTCACTTGAGTTTGCAAAGAAGCTACGCACTGCCCCAAATCCCCGGGAAAAAGCCCGCAGGCAGCCTCAGCCTTCGCAAAAACGGTGACGCTAATGACGAAAAACACACAAAACCGCAAGCAGGAAACTTTGACACCAGCCCGTTCCCTCGCCGAGGAAATCTGCCCGCAGCCCGTGCGCTCGCACCGACCGAGCCCCCAGATTCACGGGACCGGGCGGCGGCAGGGGCCGGCTGGGCTCCGGGCCGGCCGGGCTCCGCGCCGCGGCACCGCTTCCGCCTCTCTGCCGGGAG